TTAGTTAGTAGTTAGTTAGTTAGTAGTAGTAGTTAGTTAGTTAGTTAGTTAGTTAGTTAGTTAGTTAGTAGTTAGTTAGTTAGTTAGTTAGTTAGTTAGTAGAGTTAGTTAGTAGTTAGTTAGTTAGTTAGTAGTTAGTTAGTTAGTTAGTAGTTAGTTAGTTAGTTAGTGTTAGTTAGTTAGTTAGTTAGTTAGTAGTTAGTTAGTTAGTAGTTAGTTAGTTAGTTAGTTAGTTAGTAGTTAGTTAGTTAGTTAGTTAGTTAGTAGTTAGTAGTTAGTTAGTTAGTTAGTTAGTAGTTAGTTAGTTAGTTAGTTAGTTAGTTAGTAGTTAGTTAGTTAGTTAGTTAGTTAGTTAGTTAGTAGTTAGTTAGTTAGTTAGTTAGTTAGTTAGTTAGTAGTTAGTTAGTTAGTTAGTTAGTTAGTTAGTTAGTTAGTTAGTTAGTTAGTTAGTTAGTAGTTAGTTAGTTAGTAGTTAGTTAGTTAGTTAGTAGTTAGTTAGTTAGTTAGTTAGTTAGTTAGTAGTTAGTTAGTTAGTTAGTTAGTTAGTTAGTTAGTAGTTAGTTAGTTAGTTAGTTAGTAGTTAGTTAGTTAGTTAGTTAGTTAGTAGTTAGTTAGTTAGTTAGTAGTTAGTTAGTTAGTTAGTTAGTTAGTAGTTAGTAGTTAGTTAGTTAGTTAGTTAGTTAGTTAGTAGTTAGTTAGTAGTTAGTTAGTTAGTTAGTTAGTTAGTTAGTTAGTTAGTAGTTAGTTAGTTAGTTAGTTAGTTAGTAGTAGTTAGTTAGTTAGTAGTTAGTTAGTTAGTAGTTAGTTAGTTAGTTAGTAGTTAGTTAGTTAGTTAGTGTTAGTTAGTTAGTTAGTTAGTTAGTTAGTTAGTAGTTAGTTAGTTAGTTAGTAGTTAGTTAGTTAGTTAGTTAGTTAGTTAGTAGTAGTTAGTTAGTAGTTAGTTAGTTAGTTAGTTAGTTAGTTAGTTAGTAGTTAGTTAGTTAGTTAGTTAGTTAGTTAGTTAGTAGTTAGTTAGTTAGTAGTTAGTTAGTTAGTTAGTTAGTTAGTTAGTAGTTAGTTAGTAGTTAGTTAGTTAGTTAGTTAGTAGTTAGTTAGTTAGTTAGTTAGTTAGTTAGTTAGTTAGTTAGTTAGTTAGTTTTAGTTAGTTAGTTATTCCAACTGGCCCTTTTATTATTCAATTAATATTATCTCATATTGTATTAATAAATTTATTTTCTACTTTATTTATGATCTGTTTTGTTTCCGTCTCTTCTCTCGTCGGTTTCTTGTAACTAGGTCTACAATAGTAATAAAAAAATTTAATCATATTGATGCTACTCACGTTCATTTGTGCAACATTTATGAACGAACCGTGATCACTTTGCTATTACACCGATGAAGACGACAGACATACATACATACATACATGCAAACATGTTTATTTTGACTACAAACAAAACCACTCAAACTTTTCATCGTGTTAACGCTGTAGTTTTAACAAATTTGTTAAATGCAATGCAAAAATACGCTACATAAAACGTAAACAAAAGTAGGAAGTCGGTGGAACAGCAAAAAGATAAAAACTAAAACTCTAAATAAAATTATTAGATAATCATGGAAGTTCAAGTTAATGCAAGATTCATTTGCAATTGTAGTAGACATGATGATCGTTTTAAAAAACGGACCCGTGGTTTACAAAAAACAAAAACAGTATGTTAATTTTGCGCAAAAAAATTGTTGAAAAACAAACAAACTGACATGTTTTAGTGTCATTATGTTAAGAGGTTTAAATTTTGTAGGTAAATAATCACTTAAATGAACTTTTTGTGTTTACATCGGAGTATGTAGTTAAAAAATCAGATAGTTGGAGGTTTTGAAGCAAAATTGTTATAGTGAAGGAGATACGATGGGGTTCATATGCAGAGGCTATTACTTGTAAAAAAGACCCCCAGCGATTGTAAACAGTTCATAAATAATTAAACAAGGGTGTCAAATGTTTGGCTTACAAAACTTAGGGGCTGATAAGTCGTAATTTGATATTAAAATATTTCAAAGTTTTTGAAAGACAATTCACACAATTTTTGCAAAAAGGAACAATTTATGTCAATTTATTTTTATAAAATGACAGTAAATAACACTATTATGTTCCCAGTAATTATGCTCCAATTAATCTCAATATAAACTATTGTTTTGCAATTTCCTTTGATCCCATGTTGATCTCAATTATAAATGAAAAATATTTCGAAACGCCATAACAAATAAAGTCAGTAGTTCAATACTTTAAAAAAACAATTTTCCATAAATATACTTAATAAAACTTTTCCGCTTAATAACTTATGTAAATAGGCTCAAAGTCTGGACATTCATAGAGTAATATCAAGTTAAAGTACCTGGTATTTGGTTTATTAAATGGCGCCAAAATTAAAAAAATATATACAGAAACATAATTTTCAAACATGCTGTCACAATTACAGCTGGTCTGGTCTGATCAGTTTTGAAAACGAGTCCCACTAGTTGTATGGAAAAATAAAATTAATATTAAAATAATAACAACAACAGTATTTGTTTTTAAACCGTTATAGAAGGAGCAGACAATTTGTGGAAGAGATAAACACAAAAACTTCCGGTACTTTTACTTTCCTTTTTCTTTGGAAAAATGCAATAAAAGAAATACAAAAAAAAACTTGACTATGACGTAGTATTGGAAAATGAGAAAAAATACTAAAAATAAACTTGTTTGTTAATAAGGATATTCACTTGTGGGAGTTACTATTAACATGGGTTTCCATCGTATACAGTGCTCAAAAAAATAAAAGCTTTCATTAGATAAAGTTTTTTATACAAAAGTTTTCGTTAGATAAAGTTTTCGTTAGACAAAGTTTTCTATAGAAAAGTTTCCTTAGACAAAGTTTTCTATAGAAAAGCTTTCGTTAGACAAAGTTCTCTATAGGAAAGCTTTCGTTAGACAAAGTTTTCTATAGAAAAGCTGTCGTTAGACAAAGTTTTCGTTAGGAAAGGTTTTTTAGACGAAGTTTTCTATAAAAAAGTTTTCGTTAGACAAGTTTTCTATAGAAAAGTTTTCGTGAGACAAAGTTTTCTATAGGAAAGTTTCGTTAGACAAAGTTTTCTATAGAAAAGCTTTCGTTAGACAAAGTTTTCTATAGAAAAGCTTTCGTTAGACAAAGTTTTATATAGAAAAGATTTCGTTAGATAAAGTTTTCGTTAGACAAAGTTTTCTATAGAAAAGTCTTCGTTAGACAAGTTTTCTATAGAAAAGTTTTCGTGAGACAAAGTTTTCTATAGGAAAGTTTCGTTAGACAAAGTTTTCTAAAGAAAAGCTTTCGTTAGACAAAGTTTTCTATAGAAAAGCTTTCGTTAGACAAAGTTTTCTATAGAAAAGCTTTCGTTAGACAAAGTTTTCTATAGAAAAGCTTTCGTTAGACAAAGTTTTCTATAGAAAAGCTTTCGTTAGACAAAGTTTCCTATAGAAAAGCTTTCCTTAGATAAAGTTCTCGTTAGACAAAGTTTTCTATAGAAAAGCTTTCGTTAGACAAAGTTTTCTATAGAAAAGTTTTCGTTAGACAAAGTTTTCTATAGAAAAGCTTTCGTTAGACAAAGTTCTCTATAGAAAAGCTTTCGTTAGACAAAGTTTTCTATAGAAAAGTTTTCGTTAGACAAAGTTTTCTATAGAAATGCTTTCGTTAGACAAAATTTTCGTTAGGAAAGGTCTTCGAAAAGTCTTCGTTAGACAAGTTTTCTATAGAAAAGTTTTCGTGAGACAAAGTTTTCTATAGAAAAGTTTTCGTTAGACAAAGTTTTCTATAGAAAAGCTTTCGTTAGACAAAGTTTTCGTTAGACAAAGTTTTCGTTAGACAAAGTTTTCGTTAGGAAAGGTTTCTTAGACGAAGTTTTCTATAAAAAAGTTTTCGTTAAACAAAGTTTTCTATAGAAAAGTTTTCGTTAGACAAGGTTTTCTATAGAAAAGCTTTCATTAGACACAGTTTTCTATAGAAAAGCTTTCGTTAGACAAGTTAGTTAGTTAGTTAGTTAGTTTGAAAGGAGGATGTATATACATCAAATCCGAAGAAATACACCTAGGCCTCTATCGGGCCTTTTCGTTAGACAAAGTTTTCTATAGAAAAGCTTTCATTAGACAAAGTTTTCTATAGAAAAGCTTTCATTAGACAAAGTTTTCTATAGAAAAGCTTTCGTTAGACAAAGTTTTCTATAGAAAAACTTTCGTTAGATAAAGTTTTCTTTAGACAAAGTTTTTAAAAAAAAGTCGTTGGTAGAGAAGTTTTCTATAGAAAAGTTTTTGTGAGACAAAGTTTTCTATAGGAAAGTTTTCGTGAGACAAAGTTTTCTATAGGAAAGTTTTCGTGAGACAAAGTTTTTTATAGAAAAGTTTTCGTTAGACAAAATTTCTATAGAAAAGTATTCGTGAGACAATGTTTTCAAAAGAAAAGTTTTCGTGAGACAAAGTTTTGTAAAGAAAAGTTTTCGTGAGACAAAGTTTTCTATAGAAGAGTTTTCGTTAGACAAAGTTTTCTATAGAAAGGCATTCGTTAGACAAAGTTTTTTATAGAAAAGTTTTCTATAGAAAAGTTTTTGTTAGACAAATTTTCTATAGAAAAGTTTTTGTTAGACAAATTTTCTATAGAAAAGTTTTCGTTAGACAAAGGTTTCTATACAAAAGTTTGCGTTAGAAAAGTTTGGAAAAGTTTTCATTTGATAAGTTTTCTATAGAAAAGTGAACTCCCCTATTTTTCTTAATTCGTTTGCACATCATTGGATTGCATGCTGAGGATGTTCGTTTATTTCACCTAACTTTGTTTTGATGGCAAATAAGGAAAAAAAATGTGTTTTTACAAACACATAAAATGACACACGAAACATAGATTTAGGTGTTAAATTTTCTCTAGTTTTAAAAATGTTTGTGGCAACCTGTTTTTTCCGCAAAATATGATTATATAATTTAAATACACTGCTAAAAAACTATTTCAACTTTTCACTTTTTACAGAAGCTCAAGCTAAAAATGAAACCCAAGTTTATGTCACAGAATCCTGTTTGGAGAAACCATTTCGATGTCCCCATCCTAAAATACAATTTTTCCTATACACTCGACGCACACAGGATAATCCCGAATTTATAGATGTTCTTAACGATAATGCCCTATACTATACGCATTTTAATCCGCGACATCCTACCAAAATTATAATACATGGCTTTGGTGGTGGTCGTAATTTGAGTCCAAGTCCCGATATACGGCAAGCTTACTTTAGTATAGGGGAATATAATATTATTATTGTGGATTATGGTTCAGCGGTAAAGGAACCCTGTCTCAGTCAAATGGATTGGGCACCACGTTTTGGTGGTCTTTGTATATCTCAGTTGGTGAAATATTTAGCCAGACATCCGAGAGGGGTACAACCGGATGATTTACATTTTATCGGTTACAGTGTGGGTGCCCATATAGCGGGTCTGGTGGCTAACTATCTAAAACCAGGCGAGGGTAAAATGGGTAGAATTACTGCTCTAGATCCTACAATATTCTTTTATGCGGGCGCCAATAACTCAAGGGACTTGGATTCATCAGATGCTCATTTTGTGGATGTTTTACATACAGGTGCCGGTATTTTAGGTCAATGGCATTCTAGTGGTCATGCGGATTTCTACGTAAATGGTGGTACTCGTCAGCCCGCCTGTGTGGGGTCAGCTACTCTATTTCGTAAGTTTTTGTTTAATATCTTATAGGAGATCGTTTTAAATAAATAAATTGTTTTCTATTTTATTTTCCAGAAACATTGGCTTGTGATCATACAAAGGTTACACCCTACTTTATTGAATCGATTACTACGAAAAAAGGTTTCTACGCCGGTCCTTGTCCAAACCTATTTACCTATCTGATAGGTTGGTGTGAACCCAAGGACTCGGAATATGTGTTAATGGGCGAACATGTATCACATAAGTAAGAAAAAATTAACCATAAAGTTATCGATTACATTTCAGAAATAACATTTCGTTAGACTAGAAGTCTATTCTTAAGTTTCTTTTACAGAAAAGCTTTTGTTAGACAAAGTTTTTGTTAAGAGAAGTATTTTATAGAAAAGTTTTCGTGAGACTAAATTTTCTATAGAAAAGTTCTCGTTAGACAAAGTTTTCTATAGAAAAGTTTTCGTTAGACAAAGTTTTCTATAGAAAAGTTTTCGTTAGACAAAGTTTTCTATAGAAAAGTTTTCGTTAGACAAAGTTTTCTATAGAAAAGATTTCGTTAGACAAAGTTTTCTATAGAAAAGTTTTCGTTAGACAAAGTTTTCTATAGAAAAGTTTTCGTTAGACAAAGTTTTCTATAGAAAAGTTTTCGTTAGACAAAGTTTTCTATAGAAAACTTTTCTATAGAAAAGTTTTCGTTACACACAGTTCTCTATAGAAAAGTTTTGGTTAGACACAGTTTTTTATAGAAAAGTTTTCGTGAGACAAAGTTTTCTAAAGAAAAGTTTTCGTTAGACAAAGTTTTCTACAGAAAAGTTTTCGTTAGCCAAAGTTTTCTATAGAAAAGTTTTCGTTAGACAAAATTTTCTATAGAAAAGTTTTCGTTAGACAAAATTTTCTATAGAAAAGGTTTTCGTTAGATACAGTTTTCTATAGAAAAAGTTTTTCGTTAGACAAAGTTTTCTAAAGAAAAGTTTTCGTCAAAGTTTTATATAGAAAAGTTTTCGTTAGACAAAGTTTTCTACATAAAAGTTTTTGTTAGACACAGTTTTCTGTGAAAAAGTTTTCGTTATACAAAGTTTCTATTGAAAAGTTTTCGTTAGACAAAGTTTCGTTATTCAAAGTTTTCTATAGAAAAGTTTCTGATGGACAAAGTTTTCGTTGTTCAATGTTTTCTATAGAAAAGTTTTTGTTAGACAAAGTTTTCTATAGAAAAGTTTTCGTTAGACAAAGTAATCTATAAAAAGTTTTCGTTGACAAAGAAAAGTTTTTTTAGAAAAGTTTTCGTTAGGTAAAGTTTAACAAAACAAAGAAAGCTTTTATTAGAAAGTTTCATTAGACAAAGCTTTCGTTATACATTTTTATTAGAAAAACTTTTCTAATTATTATTTTTTATTTAATTTTAAATATTAACCCTGTTCCAACCTAATTCCCTAATTACAGAGCCCGTGGCACTTATTACGTCACCACCAATGCCAAGCCACCATTTGCTCGTGGTTTCCCCGGCAAAGGAAGATCAGCTACCACGGGAGAATATCAGGGTGTACGAAGGAGACGTCATCTGCCGGCATTTAATGAAAATGATGAAAAGTGTTTTGTTAAATTTCTAAAATTTTATTAATTTTAGTTGATCTAATGTGATTTATTATTTAGTTGATTTATTTTAGTAGGTGTGTACCTTTTATTTGCATTAAGCCAATTTTGCATATTTATTGTTAAACAAATAATTTTTTAAGCAAAGGAAAAATGGAACATAAAAATGTTTTATTTTATTAAAAATTAGCTTTTTATAGAAGTATTTGGTTTAATTTTTTTTAAGTCACGATAATGATGATAAATGAGGGAAAAATAATGAAATTATTTAACATAGCTTTTTTTTAAATTAATTAAAAATTTACAAGAAAAGTATATTTCTGGTAGAATGTTCTTTAATAACTAATTACTTTTATATATTTGTATATTCTTTTATTTTGAAAATTTTCCAAATATTCTAATATTTATTCTAATTTATTTATGTATATAATTATCATCATTATCGTTTAAGAAAAATAGGTAACATTTAACGGTTACGGTAATGTTTTTTAAGCAGCCCTCTAGCCATTAATCAAAGTTATTTGCATTAGTTTTAATAATGAAATAAAACTTATCTAATCATTAGTTAATATTTTTATTAATAACTATAAAATTTAACTATAAAAATTTAAAATTGTAAACTGTATAAAGAAAACTTTAAATAAAACTGAAATCGAATTAAAAAAAGCTTTAAGTTTAATTAATAATGCGTTAAATTAACCAAGAAGTTACTTTTAGCAAATTCAACAACACCCTGTAAATGTAAAACGTGGCAACTTTGGTATTTTTACAAATATTTTTCTACTTATCCAAACAAGCATACTCAACTAATGGAACTTCACTTGTGTAATTTGTTTTACAAAGGTAGTTTTACATTTTGATTACAATTGGAACCGCTGTCGACATACCACTTAAAAGCACACAAAGGGCGATAATTAAGCGACTATCAAAAGACCACATTTTGTGTCATTTATAAAGATAAATAAATAGGAATGTATAGTCGGTCATGATCGATCATATTATACCTTACTCCAGTTATGAGTGTCGACAACCCTGTATTCAAAAATTTTTTACTCAATTTTGGGCCAAAGTGAGTTTTTCATGGCAAATGATTCCTCAATTCATTCTCCACGTCTGCTATAAATTTCGGATTAAAATGTTAACTATTTTTATACCCTTCACCATAGTGAAACTCAACGACAACAATTCATTTCCAACACTTAGTCCCCGCAGTCACTATTCTGCGGCACTTCTTCTGTGTTGTCTCTGCAGCAGCACCGAACTTATCCCGAATTATAGTCTTCACCATGCATTAGTCTTTTAACCAACACTTTATTAGAGCGAGTTTGGGTTCAAACCACAGCCAACACGTACACCACGAAGGCATGTGTCCAATAACTGGCACAAGACGTCGAATTGCAGCCGTGTCGGAATTTTTTCAACCACTGTGTGAGGGTCTTCCCATGGTACCAGATTGTGTGGTTCTCTGGTTCGACCCCATAGAGAATCATTCCAAGAAAAGGGCCGAGGATACGTTTGGTCTTCGACAGTTTATAGCCCCGACAGAGTTGAGGTACTGGTAGCACCTCTTTTCTCTGAATGCAATCACATCAAGCTAACATGCCCCCAGGTGGCAACAACTGGGACAAGAAAACTTTGCCCTGTGGACTACCGGTAGTACAAGATTATCATTCATTCATCCCTTCGAACTAACTAACTAACTAACTAACTAACTACTAAACTAACTAACTAACTAACTAACTACTAACTAACTAACTAACTAACTAACTAACTAACTAACTAACTAACTAACTAACTAACTAACTAACTAACTAACTAACTAACTACTAACTAACTAACTAACTAACTAACTAACTAACTAACTAACTAACTAACTAACTAACTAACTAACTAACTAACTAACTAACTACTAACTAACTACTAACTAACTAACTAACTAACTAACTAACTAACTAACTAACTAACTAACTAACTAACTAACTAACTAACTAACTAACTACTAACTAACTAACTAACTAACTACTACTAACTAACTAACTAACTAACTACTAACTACTAACTAACTAACTAACTACACTAACTAACTAACTAACTAACTAACTAACTAACTAACTAACTAACTACTAACTAACTAACTAACTAACTAACTAACTACTAACTAACTACTACTAACTAACTACTAACTAACTAACTAACTAACTAACTAACTAACTAACTAACTACTAACTAACTAACTAACTACTAACTAACTAACTAACTACTAACTAACTAACTAACTAACTAACTAACTAACTAACTAACTAAACTAACTAACTAACTAACTAACTAACTAACTAACTAACTAACTAACTAACTAACTAACTACTAACTAACTAACTACTAACTAACTAACTAACTACTAACTACAACTAACTAACTAACTAACTAACTAACTAAACTAACTAACTAACTAACTAACTAACTACTAACTAACTAACTAACTAACTAACTAACTAACTAACACTAACTAACAACTAACTAACTAACTAACTAACTAACTAACTAACTACTAACTAACTAACTAACTAACTAACTAACTAACTAACTAACTAACTAACTAACTAACTAACTAACTAACTAACTAACTAACTAACTACACCTAACTAACTAACTACTAACTAACTAACTAACTAACTAACTAACTACTAACTAACTAACTAACTAACTAACTAACTAACTAACTACTAACTAACTAACTAAAACTACTAACTAACTAACTAACTACTAACTCTAACTAACTAACTACTAACTAACTAACTAACTAACTAACTAACTAACTAACTAACTAACTACTAACTAACTAACTAACTAACTAACTACTAACTAACTACTAACTAACTATAACTAACTAAACTAACTAACTAACTAACTAACTAACTAACTAACTACTAACTAACTAACTAACTAACTAACTAACTAACTAACTAACTAACTAACTACTAACTAACTAACTAACTACTAACTAACTACTAACTAACGAACTAACTAACTACTAACTAACTACT